TTTTTTTTTTTTTTTTTTTTTGGCAGAACCAGGGATTGAACTCAGGCCCTTGTGCTTGCCAGGGAAGTGCTTATTCCACTGAGCCATCTCCCCGGGCAAGCCTTTTATTTTCTATATATCTTATATCCTTTATCATAACCTTTTTTACAATTAGTTGATTTGTTACCTGGTTTTTTTTTGTTGTTGTTTTGTTTTTTTATACTGGGAGTCGAACTCAGGACCTTGCACTTGCCAGGCAGGAGTTTATGCTGCTGAACTATATCCCCAGCCCTGTTGTCTATTTTCAAAACGATGTTTATGTTCTTTGTAAGACAGTATTCATTTCAAATACTATATTTTTCATTTTCAAACAATTACTATTTTAAATCTACTTGCTATTTCACAGTTTTTTAGTCAATATCACAAATTTCTTCCTCATGGATATTTAAACGCTCAGATTCTGCATTAATTACCTCAATGATTTTATTTCTTCAGGCATAAAGTCTTTTATTACATGGTATCATCTAGTGACAGATGCTACCTCATTTCTTCCTAAGCAAAGAAATTTTGGTTTGTTGACAAATTTTGAAAGGAAATTCACCATATGTTCCATATTTGAATTACATATTTGCCTCCTCTCCGGTTCACTAAGAGCCAAACATTACAGTTGAATATAATTTTCCCTCAAAAATCACATTCTCACACCTATAAGCCGAGCTATTTGGTAGGCTGAGGTGGGAGGATGGCAAATGTAAGACCAGCCTGAGAAACTTAGCATGACTTCTTCTCAAAAAATAAAAAGAGCTGGAGATACAGCTCAGTGGTAGAGTGCCTCTGTGTTCCATCTCACAGTGTCACAAAAACAAATATCCTGTCCAAACACTATTAGTACAAATCTTTGTTCTCATTAAGAAAAAGTAGCTGTATATCTATACTATTTTGTATATACAGATACAAAATAGTCCTTCATTTCCCCTTTTTTTTTGTTTAGTTTTGTCAGAGATGGGTATTCCATTGCTATTTAAATATTGTAAATGCATTAATTCAGCAAAATAATCTAATATAGTCCAATAGTCCGTGAATAACCACTACGAAGAAAACAATATGCAATGTATTCATTATTGAACCTGTCCTACTAATTGGTTTCGAAACTGGCTCATTGCTGTTTGTTTCTCAATAAAATAAATTTTTAAAATTGTTTTACCTAAAAAAATAGTAAATCACAGTTTTGATCTTCAAATATTACATATGTCCAATTTCTCATTTGAATGCACTAGTGATTCTGGGATGGGCTATCAATACCCCTTCAGGCTTGCTGGTAGAATTAGCAGCCAACTCAGGCATGGATAGTCCATTCCCATGATTGTTTGGTTACGGGATATGCAATCTTAACCCATATGCACCAAGTTGAGACAACCTGAAAGACAAGCACAATTCTAGAGCTGTCAGTGAACTGACTGGAGGTCTTTCTTACAACCATATTCCAGTTCAATTCCTCCATCTGAACAGTCACATTTTCTTTTCTTTTTTGTTTTTTTTTTTTGGGGGGGAGGTGTATTTTAGGGATGGGTCTACAGAGTGTTCAGGGTCTCACTACTAGATCAGACTCATAGTGATCCTCCCAAGAGCTGGGATTACAGGCACGTGCCACCACACCCAGTTTCAGTTGCCATCTCAGTGTGCCCCAGGGCCAGGGCCGGCACAGCAGGCTTGGGGATTGAACCCCCGGTCCCTACATCTGCTTGCAGGTGCTTTAATCTGCTGAGCTATTTGGCCAGCCCTGAACAGTCACATTTTCTTTCTTCCCCCAAATTCCTATATGGAGTTCTCCATCTCACAGTCTTCCCAAACAGCTAGTACCAAGAGCTGTTAAGAACATGGCCAATAAAATGGATTTTCATGTTTTGGGGTTGTTTGATTTTGTTTATGGGAGGTCAAACCCAGTGCTTCCACACTGAACTATGTGCCTAGGCTTTTTT